GTTCTTTATGAAAAAAATATGACTTTCACACGTGAATATGAATGATATAAATTTACTGACATGGCTGTGGCTGTGGGGGAGAGCGTCCTCCAACCAAATATAATATTGATTGGTAATATTGAGCTTGACATGCATAACGCAATGTGATTTAGACTTTCTTCATACAAGTGTCCCTGATTACAAAGTGACCTGTCCCAGATTATTCATATTCAGGCAGAATTTGCTTTTTGGCACAAAGAACCCTAAAAGCTGTGTCATGTCTCCTCTGAGTATGATATCTCCATTCTTTCTTCTGGTGTGGTTAGAAAACATCATAAGGATTACAGAAAGGTATAATATATTGATTTAATGTGTAGAATAGATATTGGAATAAGTCACAGAAGTCAAAATTACCAAAAATGTCCCAGATTACCCGGATTCACCCCTATTTGATTATCTCAATTAGACTTAGAAGTATTAATACAGCTACAAAAAGGTTATGAAAAGATGGAAGAATAATACGATTAAATTAAAAAGTAATAGTAATATGAACACATTTAGAAGTTTGTGAGAAACCATACAAGATTCACAAGCTGTGTTAAAACATTTCAGAAAAGTATGTTTTTACACAATCCTTCAATCCACTTGATAGGTCTATAAAACATGTAATCCAACTACAAAATTACTTTTTATGGATCAGGGGCCAGCATACGTGTGTCCCATGTCATAGTGGACAACTGTTAAAAATTGCCTTGAAAATTCTCCAGTCACTTACAGTAATGTGAGGCGATGGTGTAGGGCACGTAGACGTTTCCATCCGCCGAACTGGGCCACATGCAGCCGTTGGTGACGCACGGATCAGAGTTCCTCTCATTCTCATTGTCATAGGCGATGTCATCTATGACGAGGGGCTCATCCTCCCTACGCACTGTTGGAGGAAAATGTCAAAGGCTCAATTTAACTTTACCAGGGAAAAAAAGCTTAATTTTAAAAATAATATAAAAATACACCTGGAGGGTTTTAATGAGATTACACATTTAATCTGTTTCTCATCTGATCAAAATCACAAGTTTACACCGACATCAGTGTTGTTAACTCACATTGTTGGAGAAAAGCTCAAGTTATAGCTAAAGCCTTTCTCATGACCTGTTTTTTAGTTTGGTTTGGTTTTTTAAACATATACAACTCAAATATGGAAATAAATAAATCAAAGCAGGTTTGCATTGTCCAGAATGGTGAAGACTTGTTAGACTTAGCATTCAAACCTGCAGATTGCTTTAGATTTATGTGCTAAAATAATTACACATATATTTTACATATTTATATTATACTTTCTCAATAGTTGGTAGCAAAAATGAATGTACACACTTGTGCTCATTTGCCAACTCCAAATTGGTTTTACGTCTTATACATTTTCATGTCCTTTTCAAAACATTCACATTCTGAAAATATCATGATATTGATATTACAGTTCGAATCTTTACTTATACGTTATGGAGCATGACATTAAACTTCAAATTTCATCAATATCTGCCATATATTTATTATATGACCTTGTGCATGCGCAAGTTTGACATTTTGGCCTGTAGTTGGCGATAGATGGAGGTCATACAGCATGAATATCCACAGTAAACTTTAAGTTTTACTGGACCTCTGGTTTCCAGCCTCATAGTGGTTAATGTACAACCTCCTGTCACAGGTCAAATATGACATTTGTCACACATATTCTATTTACTCTGCCTACATCAATTTAAATGATTTGAAAATAAAAACACCAACATAAGTATGAACACAAGGGCGGTCCACTTACTTATGACCATTTCTGTATCTGTCAAAATGTTATTTAGTAAAACAAGGGTATTGAATTCATGACTATAGGAATCCAGAATGCCAGATTTATGCCCAATATGATAGCCAGACAACCAGGTGGCGATCCTGATGCATTGGCTTCACATGTGGAAGGCTGTCATGTTGTCCATCTTTATACACAGGCTGTGGTTTGGACATGTAAAGTTTCTTACCAACATCCCGGTTGGCTTTCCACAGGAGCTCAGAGACGGGCAGATCCTGGATCAGGGAGATGACACCATTCATTCATAAAAAGATTCAAGTGTTAATCTGTGAATAATCTGTGCAGAGTGCTGAATACAACACAATGTCATTGTGTGTCTTTGTCCATTTTTCTCTTTTTCATTTCATAATATTGCATATGTTAAGTGTCTATCATTCCAAATCTTGTGATGATGTAGCCTATTTTATCGTTTCCATACATATACAGTCTTGTGATAAGAAGTTTTCTTGTGTTCTTTTTTTATTAATATTATTATTATTGCACCATTAATTTAAATGTTCTGTTTTTGTCCATTTTATACATATTCCCTGTGAATTGAATTCAACATTACATTACATTACACAGCAGTGGTTGAATGATATGTGAGGGTTTTAAAAGCTTGTTAAGAGAACAGATCCAGGATGACAGTACTATCCTGATGTCATTCAAGGAAAAGGGAAAATAAATCCACATTTTATCCTGATATTTGAATCTTGTTTTCTTATCATTAAATCTGAACACGAAGTTTTCCTCACCTTCTCTTCAGCCCAGGAGCAGTCAGAAGCCACGAGGAGGATCAGGAGACTGAGAGCACACTTCGACATGTTAGCAGCCTGCAGGTAGTCAGCGTTCACACCTGGATCCTGCTGCAGCACCTTTATATAACTTACAGAATATCTGCTAAAACCGCACTTTGCTTAGTGATAAGATGAACTTTACCTTGAAAACATGCTGCTGATTCCCACATTAACTAACCAACATAAAATCTGCTTGTGGTAGCAAAGATTTTCCTGAGAGTGCTGACTGTGAGGACACCTGTTGCTGTTTTTGGATCCTGGACAATCTGTTGAATTCATCCAAATGAAGATTTTATTCATTGTTATTTCCAGCTAATTGTTTCTAAATTAAGTCTGGCTCTGACTTTATTTTCAAATTTTTTTTATTACCCTCTATGGAAATTTGTTTTTGCCAATAAGCTCATAGTTTTTTTACTTAAGTTTGACCAGTAAAGTCATAGAAAGTAAATTGTAGTGACTTAGTCTGTAAACTTTAATGAGCCAATAGTGTTTTCTGGAAGAAGAGAAAAAAAAATGTAATATAATATCACAAATAATAACAAGAAGCTTAGAATATGAAATGTTTGGCCTTATAGGTCGAAATTACATTCAACATTTTAATTCACCACATTTTTAAATAATTCTTAAGTTTCCTTCATTTGTAAGAAAAGGGTTTGCATTAAAACAGTACATACATGACATGTTATGATTTGTACTCATCCTATACATTTTACTTGATCTCCAAAGAAAGACCAATTTCATGATTTTACCTTGATCAAGTTGAAACTGATTAATTCGTAACTAATTTGATTATTTATGTTTTTGTGATTTTATCTGTAAATCATTTCTGATTAAAATCAGGTCATTGTTAGGGTGCACAGACTCTTTCATGCATAATCATGAACCAAAAAAATCTAGTTTATCATTAATACTGTATATTTATTTTTAAGACAAAATGTTATACAAAAATTACAAAAGAGTAAAAAGTAATAAGTGGATATCATTGACAAACAAGTAGCAGACATTTTGGCAGTTGAACAAGAAATTAAAAAAAAAAGAGTGATGTCATATTTACTTCATAATCTTTCACCCTGTCACACTTGTTTAAGCAGGAGTGCGTACGGGCGGATGGCTTTTTCCACAATCTCCACCTCCTGTTTTTCGGATATCCCTTTCGGGACTGGAACCAGCCAATATTTGCCATTGTTGTGCTTCTCTCTGTACGCGGGGTTGACTCGATTCTGCAGAACCACCTGGTACTTCTTGCCCGTTGAGACGGAGGTGAAGGACTTGGTGTAGGGTAACGCCTCAGAAATGTATGGTGTAGAGTAAATCCCCCTGCCGTACACCTGGCCTGGGCCTGGCTGTTGAGAGGAAACAACATTTGACCATTAATACTGAAACACCCTCAACTGTGACATGCTCCCAGTCAAATTCAATTACACCTCTTCTATATGCTTTTATAGAAGCAGGAAGAAAAGATATGATATGATATGATAAAAGATAGCGTGCCATCTATATATAACACTTCCTGAACACCACTGCATAAGGTCCTACAGGTTTTGCGACTTGCCAATATCGTCATCATCATCATCATCATGTAACAATAAGCACCCCCCCACACACACACTCTCTCCAGTACACACAAAGTCTATACTTACATTACATCCCTGTTTTCCATCCACCACTGGGTTTTCCCCATTATGTGAATTCTGTCATGCCACCCTATTCATTAAAGCCTCTTGGTCTCACAAGCTTTGACTTATCACACTAAGTTTAAACAACAATAACAGACATAAAATAAACCTGGAATTGTGCTATGATGATGCCTTGGGCGCCAATCTGTGACGTCCCATGGTAGGACACAGGCCACTCTCCTGCCTTTGAGCCTGTGGTGGTGCAGTTTCCTCGCTCTCCCAGCCAGGCGTTTCCATCTGGGTATTTATCCAGCACCTGGGATCACACAAAACAGACAAATTGACAATGTAAGGGAGCCACTTATGTTGTTTTTTAAAATTCTAAGATAAGATGGAAGGTTCAAGCTGCAGTTGTCCTAAAATGGCCTCCATTTCTGAAAATATCACCGTCACTTCAACTTAAAAATGTGCAACACACTTTTTTTTTTAATTTAAGCTGCTGTCGACCACAAAGACCTTAAAATCAAATCAAGTTTCCTTCTCAGTTTGCTTGCTAACACACAAACACAAACATAGTGGGATAGGTTTGGCAAATATTTAGCTTTTTTATGATGTAGGCTTTGAAAAGTTTTCTCACATATTTCATAACTTGCGAATCACGTGATTTTTGGCAGCGTTGTCCCACTGTTCTGATCTCAAACTTAGAAACAGATGATTTGAAAAAGTCAGGATCCTGGAGGCTACTTGACAGAGTTTTGTTGTTGTGTCCAGTTTTTTTATATATGCAAGTTTTCCAGTGTTTTATTTTGAAAAAAGTACCTGGAATAGAATAGCCTACATTATTGTAACCAAATTGATTACATTACTCATTACAACATTGGTTTGTAATTTGTAAGTGATTCAAAATAATCCCAACCCAACTCGCACTTTCTGAGATCTCACATCGAGGGTACCCAGCCCTCATAACCGACAGAAGGAAAGTGAAACCAAAGTTGTTTCCTGTTGATGATTTAACCCCTGGATGGCATGGAGAGAACATCTGTAAAAGTCCAGTTTAAATGAAGACTGCATATAGACTGTGGTTATATTCACCTTAAGAGCGTAACGTTTCCAACCACAGGGGCGTTCATACACCTCATCTCCTCTGTAGTACGTTTCTGTGTCTTCCAAATCAGTGAAATCATAGTCATACTTAGGGTCGAAGAATTCTTTCTCATCAATAACAATGGGTCCTCTCAACACTCTACGAAGGTCAGACCTGTGTGGAGACATATAAACAAAAAACGAATAAACCAGAAAGTAGACATGGGACAGATTTACAACAGACTTCCTCTCAACTCAGCTTATGGGGAGAAAAGGAAATACAATATACAAATAAACACACTATAAATAGAATGAGAAGTTTTTACAGTACCTTCCCATTAGTGTAGATATGAATCCAGTGATGGGCATATTTGAGCCTCCTCGCAGGTCAAGGTGTGAACCTTGACGATATGTGAAATTGGCATTGCAGAGGATGGAAAGAGCCTCAAGTATAACATCTCTATCAGACATTGTGAAGTTGTTGAGGGAGAATAAGAATTTAAAAATGAACAAAGAGAAAAGAAAAAGCTTGTAGAGGTGCTTCTTCTCTGACGAGTCTTGACTCTGGAGAAAAACAGGATACAGGGTGGTTTTGTATGTCAATGTATAAAGTACAGCCCACTCAGGATCAGGTTACACAGGCATAAGAATGTTTCAAATAAACTGCAGCTTTAGTTTCACTTTCATTTCAACCTTTTCTCCGCCAGAAAATTGCATCATCCGAACACAAGTACACGTGGAAACATTTGACCAGACACAGTCGTTATGTGCAAGTTGTCACAAAAGAACACACGATTACGACAAACAAATCTAACCTGGGGGTTTTCCCTCAAACTCAAAGATGAGAAACTGTTCAAATGGAAACCTCATTCTTACAATTTAGATGTTTGCATGACTCTAAAGTTCTTTATAGTTTCATGTGCCTTTCACAAAAAAACATTTTCAATAGAAAAGCATTCATGAACAATAGAGCTTTTTGCAGACATGCACTGTACTCCAGATAATCAGACCTTCTCCAGAGGGAGTGTGTGTAAGAACGCAAATGTCCCAGTGAGAGCTTCTCCTGCCAGGACTCTGAGTAAAAGCTCTGGATAATGAGCGAGTGGCTGTGTTGAAGATGTTTCTAACATCAGATGTATTACTGAAAAAAGTAAACAAACAGGCAAAAAGAACACATATATCTCAGGATAAAAAAGCCCTGATGAAGATGTATAGAGAGTTTCTGGTAATAAGGGCCAATGCTGTGCTGTAAACTAAGCAGAAGTATTATGTTGTGTCCTGCCTCCTGCAGGCTCTACCATGACACCAGCCCTTGCCTGATGTTCCCAAGATGTCTGTGTTTGTGAACCCCGTCTGGAGACTCTCCTGCTGCGTTCTTCATATGTGACAGGTACAGCAGACATTTTCTTTGTTCATGTCTGAAAATCTCCAATCTTTTTAGAGTGGAGAGAAATTTATACCAAATTCATTTAAAAGTTAATTTTATGCATCATAGCTTTTTTGAAAAAAAGAAACACACAGAATCAGGTAGATTGAATTTGCACGTTGTTTATTCCATCTGTCTAAATAACACACATACAGCTGTGATGTTACTTTTCCATATTCATCTTAATATGCAAATGAAATGTGACAGCATCAGAGTACTTTGTTTGGATTACAAAAAGATAGGAACTGTTTCAAAGCCCAACAACTCACCAGATGTGTGTATGTGTGTGTGTGTGAGTGAGACCTTCCTTTGTTAGACCTCTCTCAGCAGAAGGCCATAAGGGCGGATGGCCCTATTTACCATCTCCTGCTCTGCTGCATCTGATGTTCCCTTTGGGATGGGGACCAGCCAGTACCTGTCGTTTAAGTATTTCTTTCTGTACTTAGGATTAATTCGATTCTGCAGAATCACTTTGTACTTCTTGCCATTCGTGCCGGAGGTGAACGTTTTGGCGTATTGGTTTGCCTCACTTATGTCCGGTGTGGAGTAAATCCCCCTGCCATACGCCTGCCCTGGTCCTGGCTGTTAAATACAAGTATGAATTAGAATTCATTAACATTTATGGAATTTGTACTATAACATTTATAACAAAGATTTTAACAATTACAACAATGATAGCATCACAGTAGCATCATCCAGTTTGTCATTGTCTTAGTAACATTGATAGTAATCACATCATGGTCTTTTTCTTCTTGCTCTCTGGCCTTCGATGTTTGGTGATGGTTTGCATTTAATTTTGAACCTTTAAATGATATATGTTACTCTACAATAAAAAAGTTATTAAAGAGAGGAGATAATCATTTATGGTTTCTAATCTGTCAACAGAGGGAGGCGTCAGAAAAACTGCTAATTTGCTAAGTCATGAGGGACAGTTCAGGTGCTGGTGACAGTCAGGACATGTTAAAATTAAATCTTAAACTTTACAAGGGGCTTATACGTCAAAAAAAAAGTTTTATCTTAAATTGAATTTGCTCTGAGCATGAATTTTAATTTGCCTCCTATTAAACTGAGTTGAGGCAGAAATATCAGAGCTGGTTTGATTTAAATCAAAATCAAAAATTCCATATGCTGAGATTTAAAGTGTGTTCATCCATGCAGTTTCTGGGATAAATAATGGATATGTAATCAAACCTTGTAGTGATCTCCGATGATGCCTTCAGCACCTTGCTTTGACGTCCCGTGGTAAGACACAGGCCACTCCCCTGGGCACGACTGGGTGCCTCGGTACACAGTTCCCAGCCAGGTGTTTTCACAATACTTGTCCAGCACCTGTGACAGAGTGTTGACATCATCAGATGCTTTGGATGGTTTCTTTTTTTTAATTTTT